AAAGAAAAACATCACCCCAGAAGAGAATCTTTAGAAAAAGGGATAATGGGAACACAATGCTATCACCCCACAATTCCGTCTGGCTGGAACGTCCGTCCGTCCGTCCGGGTAGCTTGGTTTCCGGATGATAACTTGAGTTAGAAATGATTTTTGGTTGTAACTTCGGTAGGAGGTTGCCCTTGGGAGTAGGCAAGTTGGGATTGGTTTTGAGGTCAAAAGGTCAAAGGTCAAGGTCACCGTGGTGAGTTAAAGGTAAATGCTTTCCGGATGATAACTTGAGTTAAAATTATATTTTGGTGTCTAACTTTGGTAGGGGGTTGCCCTTGGGAGTAGGCAAGTTGGGATTGGTTTTGGGGTCAAAAGGTCAAAGGTCAAGGTCACCATGGTGAGTTAAAGGTAAATGGTTTCCGGATGATAACTTAGGTTAGAAATGATATTTTGGTGTCTAACTTTAGTAGAGGGTTGCCCTTGGGAGTAGGCAAGTTGGGATTGGTTTTGGGGTCAAAAGGTCAAAGGTCAAGGTCACCATGGTGAGTTAAAGGTAAATGGTTTCCGGATGATAACTTAGGTTAGAAATGAGATTTTGATGTTTAACTTTGGTAGGGGGTTGCCCTTTGGAGTAGGCAAGTTGGGATTGGTTTGGGGGTCAAAAGGTCAAAGGTCATGGTCACCGTGGTGAGTTAAATGTAAATGGTTTCCGGATGATAACTTGAGTTAGAAATGAAATGTTGGTGTCTAACTTTGGTAGTGGGTTGCCCTTGGGAGTAGGCAAGTTGGGATTGGTTTTGGGGTCAAAAGGTCAAAGGTGAAGGTCAGCATGGTGAGTTAAATGTAAATGGGTTCCGAATGATAACTTGAGTTAGAAATGAGATTTTGGTGTCTAACTTCGGTAGGGGGTTGCCTTTGGGTACAGGCAAGCTGGGATTGGTTTTGGGGTCAAAAGGTCAAAGGTCAAGGTCACCTTGGTGAGTTAAATGTATATGGTTCCGAATGATAACTTGAGTTAGAAATGAAATGTTGGTGTCTAACTTCGGTAGGGGGTTTTCCATCGGTACAGGCATGTTGGGACTGGTTCTGGGGTCAAAGGTCAAAGGTCAAGGTCACCATGTTGAGTTAAAGGTTAATGGTTTCCGGATGATAACTTGACTCTGGCTGAGGGGTTTCAACAGCAACGCTGTTATTTTTATACCTGTAAAAAGCAGAGTATATTTTATCACCTTGCAGTGATCTGAAATGCAACATGTTATCAGCTCTTTGCTGTGACAGTTTGATTATAAAATGTTGAGTCTCTTTTCTTTCATAGACCTCTCTGGCACCGCATGCTCCAGTTACCTTTGAGAACCCCCACTATGCCAACGCGGCCGGTGCAGTCGGCGCGGCCGGTTCTGACGGTGTCGTGGCCATCCCGGAGAAGACCGTCCTGCCTTACGACCCGTCCCTGTACCAACCAGGCTACGAGGCGGGACCCTTATTCAATAAGGAGGACCCATCGGCCATGGAGATGCAGGCACACTTCCCAGAGCCCCCACCGGCCTACTCCCCAAACAACCCCCAACAACCACCGCCACAAGCCAAGGATCCAGAATAAGAAGGATAGATCAAAAAAGATCTTGATCAGCAAAAGGGGGTGTAATCATACTTGTCTTCAAATACATTTGAATCAGCAATCTTGATCAGTCTATTCTATATGGCAGTCATAGTATTATCCTGAATTGCGCAGTCTGTAAACCACCACGCCTAGCGCACGCTATGTTACGATTCATGGACGTCCTGCTCCATACACGTATAATACGATAACTTCTGAAAAACAGACACAGCATACGCTATGTTACGAATGCCTGTTCTGCTCGTAATTAACGCGCAATCATCGTGCGACCGTCTCCTTGCAACTGTGGACAAATCAGGAATTAAACATACTGAAAAACTGCCAAAATTGCCATATCCTCAGTTCAAGATATGTATCACAACACATGAGCTTCGTATCCTTATACGTTGTGAGCTTAGTGTCCTGATACGTATTAATTTAATAAAAACACTGTATTATTACACCCCTAATCAAGGCAGCACTTTGTTACGTGGAGTTCTTAACTTCAAAATTTGTTACGTCGGGGAGTCGCATTCCCTTCCAAACCCTATTAAAGCTAGCACAATTTCAGCAGGTTTTTAAAACAGAAATACATTGCATTTCACATACTGTTTATGAAGAAATTCAAACTAAGTGTAAAGATTCTGTGATATCATATGAGGGTAGATCGATTTTGTGAGATTTTGTGCTGTTTTGAGAACACGCTCGGAAATTTTCAGACCCCCCCCAAAAAAGTTTATACCCTTTTATGGTTTCACTGAACATTTACACTTACTGCTGGCATCCTCATGCAATTTTCAAACCTTCAATTAATCAGAAACTAGATAACAGTTGTGTTCCGTTATCAGTTACTCGTCTGTTCATTATGTTAAATTTTGTAAAGTTTTGCTTGTTTGTTAGCTTGTTTTATTTTTTCATGGTGCACATTCATGTTCTTTGCAACTTTATGAAAAAAGAGCAAAAGGGTTAAATAACCAAGCGTTCTAAGCTACAGCTACGTTTATGCACATGTTGTAATTATTGAAGACCTGGACAATAGCCCTAGCCAAGAGATTTAGACACGGCTTAAAGCACCGTGCACTTCATGTCACGATTCTCTTGTTTCGTTGTGCATGGTTTCTAATAACAAATTATCATCAACTGTACTTAGTTTATACTGCAATAAAAAATTGAGGACTCTCTAATTTAAGGCATGCTCCCACGAAACCGCGACAAAGTTACAGAAGTTTTGCACAAAGTGTACATGAAGTCAATTTGGGGTGGGACAAACTATTTTGAGGTTTTGGGATTTTCTGAATCAGAAACTATAAATCTACAACCTCCCAAAATATGAATATAATCCATCAAGAAGAAGTGTGTTTATTGGTTGATTTAGTACAAAAAAAATGTGTATAGAAATGTATACAAAAAGCATTTTAATACACGTTTATCTCATAATTGGGTTTCAAGGTTTTATCACTTCATGCTTTCTCCCAGGCGTGATAGGTCGCGGTACCTATGAAATCATGTATCAGTTTGACGATGAAAACCTCAGGAACAACAAAAAACAGTTGTCAACTTTGTCCGGCTAACGCAGATTTGTAAAATTTGAGTAGACTTCAAGTGCCTTGCGGTAGGTGTTTTTGTTTTATATTTCAAAAAGTAGTAAGATGTATCGAGCTGTTATTATTCACGAGGTGTTATTCACGATTGATGCCAGGTTCCAGATTTCTTGAAAAATGAATCAGGAAATTCAATGTTATAATACATTGCCATGCTAACTGGCAGTTCACAGCATTGCTATTTTTGTTTTAAAACCAAATATTATGCAAGTAATATCGATCAAAGTTATATTTTGTTAGTGTTTTTAATTGTTTATTAGACAAGGTGTTAATAATATTTTTTTGGAAAGCTTTTAAAGATTATTCAAGAGTTGTCCATTATTCAATATTTTTTTATCAAGGAGTGCTTAATATACACGTGCCTCAATTGTTAATTCATTGATTTTTATGGAGCATTTTTACCTCCTGGTGTGTGAGCAAACAAAAAGGCAAATTTGCGTCTGAAAAATGTATATTCAATATTGGGTTTTGCTCTTCACCGGCGTACTTCAGCCTTAAGCAGGAGGTCATGGGTTCGAGTCCCACACAAGTAAGCTTGTGAATTTTTTTCACGCAAGCCTTCAGACAACATCGAGTATACAGTGTTTAGAAAATACGTCATTGAAGGGCAAAACCCGATAATGAAAAAAGGGTAACTAGTATATTCTAAAACTTTGGATATTGTTGGGATGATGTATTCTGAAGATATTGTATTCCAGAAAAATTCAAAATCTTAAAAAAAAGAAGTTATATCTGGCTTATGAGATACCTGGATGCTAATGTTCAAGAGACTTTTACAGATGAACACTATACAATAGAAAAAGGTTAAAGAATAAAGGGAGTGTTATAATTTTAATTTTCTAGCATATATCTACATAGAGAAATAGTGTGTATTTTCTCTTTTTTTTTCTTCTAAAGAATAGTTTTGCAGTGTATGCATATTTAACCGATTGCACAAATGGTTTCTGACACTGTGTTTCTAAAAAAGGGACAAAATAAAACTGTGTAAAGTTGCATTTAGACAGAGAATATTTTTTTTCCGTCGAAAAAGCTAGGTATACGACACCATTGGAAGTTAATGTACACTTTAAAGAATGCACATTATAGCTACATTACAAAGAGTTAGCAACACATAGAACCTGTTTCTATTTTGCAGCAATAATTTGTAACATTTGTCATTTTGAATTTGGAAAATAAGTTTTAAGTAAACTGCTTTCAATCGTTATTTGCAGCTTCTCTGTTTTCATTGCGTGTATTTTCCCGCTGTGTATATTGGGACTTTAAGGTGAGTTTATGAACTAGTCTTTCATAATTTTAAAGCTTGACGAATCTTTGTTATATAGAAATTTAAGCACTCATTATAGATTTTTTTACTGAGAAAAACAGGATCCTGCAATGATATCCATTTTGAAGAGTATGTACATTTCATGTAGAGCAATAAAATATATATTTTAAGATACAGCATATTAGTACTCGGTGTAAATCAAAACTTTTAAATTTCATATTCGATGTAAATGTTGATGTACAATTATGAAAACTATATTTCGAAGGTTTCTTTTTGTTTACGTGGCTTCTTTTTTAGTGGTGTATAATTTCAGCAAAATAAAGCAAAATGTTTTTATCGCAGAATCTGGAATAAAAATGTGTCTTTTATGTGTTCATAAACAAGTGACACTAACAAATAAACCCCAAAACAAACAAACTAACAAAACATGGGGAGGAGGGATTGAATGCTACATGGGAAAAATCAAAGTTATACTTTTAATTATAGAAAAACCAAATCGCTAATGGTCAACAGAAACAGAACACTGGTAAATAATAACACTGATCAGACATGCAGATACTTTTTATTTATTTTTTTATTTCAAACTCACCTGTTACTTATAAAAAGTCAAATATATCCGACACAATTTGCAGAGCCAAAAGGGCTTCAAAAAAATTTAATTTCCAGTTTTAATAAAGTTTTCATATTTTATCCATTCTAATTAAACAAGCGTGAGTGCACAATAAGCTCTGGCCCGGTTCCAGAATGCCGAAAAACTTTCGCCAAGAGTGCATTTACTGACGACGGCATTGCATTTGGTCAATTTCTGGTCAATTGGTAGTTATGTTTTATGGGAAACTTATGAGCCCGTTTTTGGTCAAGTTTCCAGGGACAGACCAACCGACTGACAGGTAGAAGCTCCTGCCAGAGCTTAAAAACAACAAATGGAAGCGTGATGTACCACTTCGAAATGATTGCATGCGAGTTAAGTTGCAAGCTACTACTGCATCTTTTTGGACTTTTTTTCTGCGAAATTGCTGATGATTAACTTACATTTTTTTTTTATTATACATCCATTGGATTCTTTTGTGACAGATGTACCAAAATTACTTTTGCAAACCTCAGCGACAAAGTTAGTGATGAGATATAACACAAATGAAATACGTGGGTTGCTAAATATAAGTTGCAGCATTTTAATGTTAAAAGAAATTGTGCCTGTTATCATTGTTGCTTTTCTCCTCTCCTATTAAAAAAATATCACACAATTGGGTGCTTTATTCAATTTTTCCACTTAGGATGGACTATTTTATGGCATAGGATATGGATCTTCAGCTAAGCATGTTTGATGATATGACAGATTTCTTATCTGATGTCCCAAAAATGTTTTTAAATTTGAGTTGTTTACTTCACTGGCCAACTCTAAAACTGCTCATTGATAAATTTATGAAAGGAAGGGAATTTTTATTGGAGTATATTGCTTTCCGGATTTTGCTTCTTGTTGGGATTTTGCTACTTGTTGGGATTTTGCTGCTTGTTGGGAGTTTGTTTCATGGTGGCAACTGTTATGGAGCTTTTTCTTCCTACTGGATGTGTATCAGACAAGAAGACACTGCAAACTGTTCAAATAGACCTGCAACTAGAAAGGCAAGGATGGGCTCTTGAAACAATGACTGGGCCGGATGTTCTAATGGACGGATTAATGTAAGAAATGTACTCGCTAGGGACAGTTTGGTAAAACGAGATGTGGTCATTGGCAACAGACACTGATACATTTGAACTTTGTTGAGTAGTGTGACCACATTTGAGCATTAAATTAGCTAATGTTTTTCACCAAACTCGCAAGCTGCATGATGAGCACAAACACTGGAAAGGGCAAGGTACTCTCGAGGCACAGACACTGAGCTGTTCTAGGAAGGTTGCTTTAACTACCAGTATCATGTTTCCAAGTCCTCACCCTACATTCAAATGTTTACTTCCAGTGTTTGGACATCTTCTTACATATTCCTGCCATTGTGGGCCGCTTTCTGAAGTCGGCGTGCTGGCATTTTTTGCCAACACGTCGCAGTCGTCGAATCCCAGCTGCCTTTCCGATCTTAATTAGCAGGTCGCCCAGCGCGTAGACTTCGGCCGGCTTGTTGAAGGGCGAGTCCCCCTCCATAACCTCTGGAGCCATCTGGGGACACTCCAGGTACATCTGATTGATCAGACGCTCTGGGATACGGAGCCAGGGACCGGCAACTTCAAGACAAGCATTGCCAAGATCAATGATCTTGGCATACCGTCTGGTCTTTTTCCCATCATTGACATCAAACAGCAAGATGTTGTCTGCTTTGATGTCGCAGTGGATATAATCGACGTTATGCATGTGAAGCAAGCCCTCACACACATTCCGCACAATACGCAGCCAGGTCTTACGGGAGAGCGCAGATGGAGTACCAGTCCAGTCCAGGGCGTCCTGTAGCGTTGTGACAGACAAGGTGTTCTTATCGCCAACAAACTCATACAGCATCGTCCGGAGGGGCTTCTGCTCCACCACACCATGTAGCATGGGGAATGAGGGATGCTCTCCCACGGCTGCCACAGCTATTATCTCTTGCCAGAGTGGTCCCTCCGAATCATGTGCCTGCAGAACCTTGGCTGCAGCTACAGTGTTATCAGGTAAACGTACTGCAGTCACCTGAGCAAATGCTCCCTCGCCCACCATTCCACGGGATTGTCCAAAGCGGCCGACCACAGCAGGCTTGATATCTCTGCGGCTATACATCCTGCAGCCAAGATGAGGATGGTAGACAATCTCCGGCATGACGGGCTTGGGAGCATCTCCTGATGAGAGAGGCACTGCTGGCGACAGAGGTGCTGCCGGTGACGGAGGGGCGGGAGGTGACTGAGCGGCCGCTGGTGATGGCGGGCTTGCCTGTGACGGTGGGGCTGTCTGTGACAAAGGGGCTGCCAGTGTACCAGTAGGAAGGGCTTTCTGTGATGGAGTGGCTGCCAATCCATGAGTGGCTTCTGGTGATGAAGAGGATGCTTGTGATGGGACTGCCAGTGATGGAGTTGCTAATGGAGACCCACAGGATGCCAGTGATGAAGGGGATACTGGTAACTCAGGGGCTACCATAGACGGACGGGATACTGGTGTTCCAGGGGCTGCTGGTGACCCAAGGGATGCTGGTGATGAAGGGGATACTTGTAGCCCAGGGGCTGCTGATGACCCAGGGGCTGCTAAAGACTCAGGGACTGATGATGACCCAGGGGCTGCTAAAGACTCAGGGACTGCTGATGACCCAGGGGCTGCTGATGATCCAGGGGCTGCTGATGGCCCAGGGGATGCTGAAGACCCAGGGGCTGCTGATAGCCCAGGGGATGCTGAAGACCCAGGGGCTGTTGATGATCCAGGGGCTGATGGCCCAGGGACTGCTGATGACCCAGGGGCTGATGGCCCAGAGGCTGTTGAAGACACAGGGGCTGCTGATGGCCCAGGGGCTGTTGAAGTCACAGGGGCTGATGGCCCAGAGGCTGTTGATGATCCAGGGGCTGAAGACCCAGGGACTGCTGATGACCCAGGGGCTGATGGCCCAGAGGCTGTTGATGATCCAGGGGCTGAAGACCCAGGGACTGCTGATGACCCAGGGGCTGATGGCCCAGGGGCTGTTGAAGACACAGGGGCTGCTGATGGCCCAGGGGCTGCTGTAGACCCAGGTGCTGCTGATGACCCAGGGGCTGCACATCTTTTCTCCCTATCAATGACATCAAAGAAAGAAATGTGAAATAGTTTAAACTGTCAATTATTTTAGATTGATTTAGAATTGAGACTTGTTCAATGTAAATATTTTTAGAGTTCACTGCATTATTTTCAGTAGAGGAAATTGTTGAATAATTCTATGACAGAAAAATGTATCCATCCACAAGGTCCACTCAGGCTTTGAACCTTACAAACATTAAACAAACAATTCATTGTCAAATGTCTGTCCACTTACTTTTTGCGGTAGAATACTGCACGGAGTGTCTTTCTCAGTCTTCTAGGCATCTTCAAGTTAACCTTTTCAAAGGAATGACGGTAAGGCCTAAAAACGACACTAGTGTAAAAAAAAATCTCATGATTAGTCTTAATATCAATGGATGATGGAACAGTTGCCCTCAAATGTTTCAAGGTACAAGTTTACACGTCCAATGATATACAGATCCATGGACCCACCATACCATTTGAGGGTGAAAAACATAGGCCTACATGTACTGTGTTGCAATTCATGAAATGCGCCTTTAGAAGCGTGCACGTATGATGTAGTGATACTAGGCCTAACTTAAGGTATTTTATTTTTAGCTGTTTCGGTTAAAGTTTCCCCCCTTTTTGGGGTCTTTTTCTGAATTCTCTTCATAGGTTTCGTACACCTTTTTAGATTAATACTGAAATTCTTAAAAGTCACATTTGCTTCAACTCTTCTTCATGCCCAATAAAAGGCAGACAGCAAGGCCCCCCCCCCAAAAAAAAATCTGCTTCTGATTTCCCTACCTACCCTAATATTATCTTTGGGAAAGGAAAAAAAAAAACCACCCAAACCATACCTTGACTACACGCAGACGCCTCCATATGATCGTACACAAAAAATTGCCCCCTCCCCTATTTTCAAATGCCATGTAACCTGAAGCAGAACTATATTTTTTTGGGCCCAACCATGATTGCAAAAATTCTGATACTTTTGGATAGGCCTAGTCTAATGTAAATCAAACAGTAAGATAAGAGTAAGATAAGATTAAGAATGTGCTAAAAAAAGAGTTAAATTTAATGGCTCATCCAATGAACAGGCTGAACAGCGCCCTCACACATTTATTGATGTCCCTAATTTTAAATTGCACTAATTGCCTTTAAGCTTGTGCAAAAACTTAGGAAGCACGCAACTTTCTTTGCACAATCAAAAACATTGTGCACACAAAATACAATTTGCGCAGAGGCTATCGCAATTTGATAACCTTGCGTAAATTTGGCATGATTAGGCCAACTTCAATTCCTCCAGAAATCTGCCATGAGAAAATATAACTAGGCCTACGTTTTAAATATTTTAATAGCATCCTGCACTCTCCTGAATATATGTGGTAATAGAGGAAGTATTGTTAATATTTGGTTTGTCTGATTATTTCATAATTTTTTTTGGGGGGGGGGGTGTGTTTGTGTGTATTATAAAATTGCATGTTTGGCCAGAGCACGAATAAAAACTAGACCTATTGCTTTGGAAAAGTTTTGTTTCTGTTCGGCGACCAAGAAAGACAATCCTGGGCCTATAATACACATGATACATGCCTACATTACAATGTTAATTTTGAGTCGCAAAACTCAAGAAACAACTCGAAGTTAACTCCACATAGTAGCCTAGGCCATGACCGATGACGTATGCAGCCTGGCTTCGTGATTTGCTCAGCCATTCCCGATCCCGATAGAGTTGTGCGTGTTGCGCAAGGTTAAATTTGCGTGTGCAATTGGCAGCATGGAAACTGAGCCCGCGCAACAAATTGCGCGCTTAACACCTACAATTAATATTACTAGGCCTACGTTATGCTGAATTTATTAAACATGAATAAATCTGAAAAAGAAAGGAATGTTACACAAGGATAATGGCTGCATACATTAACGTACAGTTAAACGTTAGTTTGTGCTCTCAGTTGTGTCTGTCACTGTCTGACTGTCATTCATCAGCAATGTTGTATTGTTCATCGTGTTGATGTAACCTAATGTGGCGCGGCCCCCCAGGCCTAATGTGGCGCACTTTGATTTTTCGCCTAGCTAGAGCAAAGGTTTTAACTGAAATTTCATCACGTTTTTAACACTCCCGTTCATACATCACGATTTTATCTCCCGTAACAAAGTAGAAACACACAGTGAACCCTTTGAATTAGAAAATGTCCCCAAAATAAAAAAATAACTTTCTGACAAACATCTCGTTAGGTATGTAAGTACAGATTAGGCCTAGTATAATGGTTTAGGCATCAACTTTACAGAAATTAACAAATGTTAATTTGGAATTTTCCGAGATTTAGGCTATTCAGTGCTATTCAAGCTGTCAAGTGCGCCACGTTAGGGAACACTCAGCCAATTTTGTGCACAATTTCCAGATGCCACTGTTTTTGAATTTCGGATTAAACTTCATGACACCAACATTTTTTTAAAGGTTAAAGGTTAAATAGCAAGCATTATTATATTATAACTTTTTATATTAAAAGTAGGCCTATAACAAATATTTTGCTGACTGTAGGCCTATTTCAGGTTTGGCAACATTCTTCGGGGTAAACATCTAATCTGCGCCATCTATTCTTTTTTGGGGATGAATTTACTGTCAGTTAAAGTTTTGCTCTAGCTAGGCGGGCAAAAAATCAAAGTGCGCAACGTTAGGGGCCGCGCCACGTTAGGGTACATCAACAAGCACAAGCAGCAAATGACATAGGCCTAGGCCCTAATTACGTTTTATTTGGAAGTCTCAAAATGTTTCAATGAGTAAGCCTACTCACCAGATGAAGAACTGTTGACGAAATTCCAGGCACCAATTCGTAGCACTGATGCGAAAAAAACTGCGAATTATCAAGTCTCTTTTTTCGATCAATTGCATGAATTGAGAGCTCACCAACGTACACACAAGATCCACATGAACATTATGCGCATTCTGTTGACAACTTGGAATCGGCGGATGTTTATGTCATTCGAGTGATGCGGCTAAAAGATACCATTTTCTATAGGGCGATAACAATGTGCCAGATAAAAAAAAATTGAAAACAAAAAGCATTTTGGTGAAGAAACCCTCTAAAATACAAGCTCTAGGACCAGTTTTGCACTGAATGTTACAAAAGCGTTATTATTTTACAGTATTATTTTACAGACTGTAAGAATAGTATTTTAATATTATATTCAACGCTAATGAACCCCCCTTCGACTACAATGGTACAGCCGACATCGCCGACGCGCTCGATCGAACGCGCGCATGCATAGGGCGCCCTTGCGCTTGTTGTGTACAAGAAGAATTCGCAAAACGCGGAGCATCACGCGCGCGTATTATTTGCGTGCCAGCATACGTCACTTGCTTTTATTAGCTTAGCGCATGCGCGCGTAAACGTAGGCTAAAAATAAAAATGACAACATGGACGGCCCTTTTTCAAAGCACGGCTTCGTTTCCAATTGGCTTCATCACTGCAATGATGCAGAAAGAATAATTTCACAGGGAGCTTAGTTCCCTTACCATCTTTCAACCAAGTATGTTTTTCAACAATAATTCAGTCAGTCACTTTTTGGATAGCTGCAAATGATGGACTGCAGCTTTATAAAACCGTCTCCTCAGTAGGGATGTAATGCAGGTGCAAGGTGACTGAGCAGATATTTACATGAAGTGGGCCCCCCTGATGATGTCATCTATGTTTAGAGACAGAATTTTTGACTTGAAGATTCCAATGCTCGATGCTTGATGTAGGCCTATTTCTGGTGGTAATTTATTCCATTCTGCAAAACCTCAAAATATACATGGCGCAGCAAGCTCGTCCCTCGTACAATCCGAGTGTATACTTGATGCACAAAATCATCATTGAATTTCAAGTTTCTAAACCCAAGTAAATAATATTTATTATACAAACTCACTCTTTTAGATTTTTAGCAAGGTGGGTAAATATAACCCATGTTATACAAGTTATAATACCAGCGTTATCCGAGATTGTCCGAAGTTTGCTGAATGTATTCAGCAAATTATAGTTTCGGAAAAAGGAGGAATTCGTAATTAGTCACGTGACATATTTTGTATAGATACTAGGGGTCCAGACCAAAATAGACTGCCATAGACCTTAGCGGTAATTATGCGCACTTCCAAAAAATATCTAAAATACTCACAACTCTCTGAGCTGTCTGAGGTGTTCAGGACATGCATCAAATTGAAGCCTATAATTATTTCATCATCTTTCATTTTCTGTTCAATTTTCTGGGGGTTAATCAATGACTTTTGGGAGAAAATTATATGTATCAAATGTTGCTCGTTATTGTTCAGTTTTTAGTTGATCACACTTGTTCATGTTTTTTTTTTTTCGTTCTTTATCTTGATTGCGATGGGCAACAAAACTCAAAAAGGCTAAAAAATGGTGTTCCACAGGGATCTGTCCTGGCTCCAATGCTGTTCAACGTGTACATTCATGACCTCCCTGATACAATCTCCATGAAGTATGGATATGCCGACCACCTGGCCATCTTGACAACACACAGAGAGCGGAAGATGATTGCATGCACCCTGAGCCAGGACATGAGCACCTTGGCCCTATGCCTGAGACAGTGGCGAGTGAAGCTGAGTGAGGGTAAGACTCTCTACAGCCTTCCATCTGAACAACAAGGAAGCCAAACGTGAGCTGGATGTGTGCATCAACAAGAGGCGCTTGGACTTCCAGATAACAACCACATATCTTGGTGTCAAGCTCTATAGGACACGCTTCTACCACCAACATCTTGCTGGACTCCGAGACAAGGTCATGGCACGCAGCGCTCTCATCCGTAAACTCGTGGGCACAAGATGGGGAGCAAGTCCATCAACACTCCGCACCTCCGCCCTGGCACTCATGTACGCGCTGGCGAGTATTGCGCACCAGCATGGAGTAGGAGCAGACACACCAGCCTGGTAGATGTGAGCCTTAACTGCACCCTGCGTACAATCACTGGATGCTTACTACCTACACCAGTTGAGCAGCTCCCTGTGCTTGCAGGCATCCTACCAGCTGAGCTCCTTAGGCAGGCAGCAAGCATGGCACTGGCCCAACGAGCCATGGTCCAGATCACCTCCTCCGGCAAACCATCAGCAGGGAACATACACAACCCAGTCTCAAATCCTGATGCCCCTTGGAAAGGATCTACTGTGAACTATCCAACCCACTGAGTCAAAGGCCCACTGGACAGCTAGGATGTGGACACAGGAGTGGCAGTCATCTCCTAACCGTCTACATAGATAGAAGTTGCCCAGGCATGGGTTAAACTCAACAGGCTTCGCACCGGAGTCGGGCGTGTCAATGCGGACATGTGGTGGGGCCTATCCCAGAGCCCAGCTTGTGAATGTGGAGCGGAGCAGCAGACTGCTGACCACATCATCTCCGAGTGCCCCTTCTATCACCCTCCAAATGAGTACCATGGCCTGATCGATGTTGATGCAGATGTAGCAACTCGAGAGTGGCTTCTCAGCAAGCGCTCAGAGATCTAACTACCTTTTTTTTGGTTTCACACACAAGAAACTTGATTGTTGTCTCTTGATGGTTTTTGTTTTCTTCGGCGACACTTCAGGTGTGTGGGAGTTGCTGTACTTGGCAACTTATAGTGCTTGCACTTTTCCCACCCTCTACCTGATTCTTTTTGTTGAATAATAATAATAATTGGTGAACAATCCAAGGAAGACAAAAACGAAGTGAACCATTTGTCCAACTGACATATTTACACGTCTGTAGTCTGCTCTGGTATTATTCACACAAACAGCCATAATCGGCAAGCATTCAAATACAACTGTAATTAATCATGATACTTACGTACATTACTACATGATTGATAACTCCACAACAGAGATTCTCCCGAGTGTTTTTGTCAAGCTTGCTCTTGATAGAACTTCTGTAAGTCTCAAGTCAAGTCCAAGAAACGTTGACAAAAAAAGCTTGTTATGAATGTACGTGTACGTGGCAGTGTGCTTCATTCATGGTAACATGCGTATTAATTATTGAGGTTGGGACATGGGACAAGGCTTTCCAAGACACTGAAAGTGTGTCATTTGCTTGAAAAAAGCCCTGGGATTTTAAAAAAATTTGAGTAATTCTAATGACAACCTCAAATAAATGAACCCGAAGGAAGGCTTCAAATTGGAGACACATCTCAGATGTGTGTGTGTTTATAACACTGAACACTCGTTGGCAATTTAGATGGTGCAATTATTAGAGGTATTATTTAGAGCAATCATTTCAGACAACCCACAAAAGTTGTTGGCAAAAATTTAGAGTTACACCTTTCTTCGTGAGAAAAGACAAGAAAAATATGACGGACAGGATGCAGGGGCTAAAATACTTAGTAAATTCCACACAGATGAAAGATAATAATGTACTCCTATTTTACATTTCATCCAGCAGTGAGGTTAAATTTCAGATGGCAGTTTGGCCAATTTCATTTTCATTAACCGCAGACCCGACCAACTTTAGGCAAAACAAGACAGCCGTTTTCATTGGTTGCTTTTGAACATGAATTATTCATACATATAGCCAGAGATCTCAATAGTGTGTGATGTGTGCCTGCAACTGATAACACTTACTAAATCAAACACAGCGTATCCACTGAACTCAAATAAGATTGTTCATTTCATATAACATACGTGATTCGTCAAATCTCTTACATACTGTACAGTTACACAAACTCAAAAAGCTATGAGCTACTACCTATATTGACACGGTAATGTATACACTTGGTGCATTTTTTTGTGTTTTAAATAGAAAACTTCAGTCTTTAAAAACAAGTGTTGATCAACACAAAATCTATATACATGGCTTACAGTAATTATACCCCCAGATGTTTCTTTAGAATTTTCTTAGAATTATTTACAATATATCCCAATTTCTATCATCAAAATTGAAGACAGCTTCCACATCCCTTACTATCGTTTCATGTGACAGCTAGATATTTTGGGGTTGAAAGTCAGGCATTGTTAGAAGCTAAGCCGTAAATAATACAACGGAATTTCAATTTAAGCTATCTAGAAGAAAAAGGCCTGTGCCTACGACAAAAGTGAGGTACATGCAAAAAGCAAATGAGATGTGCAGTAGAAAAAAAGTGAATACATTAAATGTTTACTTCCAAGATGAAGGGTCATGACAAAAAGAAAAAAAGTTAAAATGTCGCTTCTGTTCCAGCCCTGACATATCTCTAAAGGTAGGATTCTTGGCATCAGTAGCTGATAGGGACACCTTAAGGGAGACAATTTTGTTTCCATCCCACCAATAAAAAGTCAGAAATCGGCAAAAGCTGGTTTTGAGCAACAAGGCTGTCGAATATGTCATGGCAAGGTTGAATGTCTGCACATGGATTCCTGGTCTTCCTTCTTCCTAAAACAAGGACAATGCAAACAGGATTTTCCTAGAACCTTTTAAATTCTGTAATCTGAGTTGTTGAGATGAAATCCGAGTTGTAGAGGTCATAGTTCAGAGTGAAACCACAACAACCTGTGAACCTTTAGTAACCATCGACCCATTCATCTTTTTGCCTGTTGGCCGTAAAAAAAGAAACATTCAATTAAACAAAATGATAAAATGTAATGGCAATGGTAGTGACTACACAATTAATATGTATACGATATATATGTAGGATATCTGTACTTGGATACCGGTATATTGGCTTTAAAACCCTTTTTTTTTTTATTGGTGGTAAAAAAATTTCAGAGGTCCCCAAAATGTATCGGTAATCATCAGATAGAGGAATATATTTTGTGAATATATTTGATTTGTAACGGTTGTACATTGGTTCATTTTTTTTGTCTGTTCTTAATTCATTACTCTGAAATGTAGTCACTGTCTTTTCAAATAGGGTCCCCGCATCTGTTCAGATATGTCTAGTAGTCTTAATACAGCATGAATTTCCAAACATATCCACATGTACTTATGCGCAAGGCATTCTGGGATTAATCGCATCCAAACTCATCATTAATACACAAAGCAATCCACCTCCACTGGTATACCTATTAAAATTTAAAAAAAAAATATGCTGAATGAATAATACTATCAATACAGAAAAAAATCACAACATTTTCTACACAACAAAACAAAACTTATGCTAAATAATCCATTAGAATATAACAGCATTAATTTCAAAGATTTCAGTTTGTGGATATTCCATATCCAGACATAACATACATTTTTCTATTTAACAACTTTCGGAGCACAAAAATGCGCTTGTGTGTGTGTGTTTTTTTTCTAAGCTTTCGCAAAAAATGTACATTAGAAAAAAACTGCGGTGATCAAAGTGACAAAACTAAGACACGTGACCCTTGAACCCTAATGTGGCTACGGTATATCCTTCAGCTGCTTTCTGTACACAGATTCTACATGTGCAATCTTTTGTCTATAATCCACCTTTGTCTTTTTAACTTCAAAGACTCTACACACCTAGACGACAACATCGGACGTGACAAACATATACAAAATGACAGTATGTTTTGTGATCTTACCTCCCACTAGGGCATCACATGCCCCGCCCACAGTTCCCAGAGACACAAATCATATGTACATGGCGTGACATTTTTCCAATGTTATATCTTACAGTATGTCACAAATTCTATCCCGAAAAAAAAAGTACACAGTTTAAAAAAAACCGAACCCCCCCCCCAAAAGGCCAGTATTTCCCACCAGTTAAAAAAAAGGGATTCTGGTTGTCACAGAAACTTGCGACCATGGTAACAATGTAACCATGGTAACAATGTAACCATGGCATAAGGCCAATGAGATTTTTCAAGCATGCAGGATTATTGTGGCCACAAAAAGAACAAAAATAACACAAACGTCTAAGCGAATTACAGCCAAATACTGGTTCTGTAGTTAAAATTGACTTTACATCTTTTGATGTGTCTCCATTCACAATTTGGCAAATAGTTTTAAAAAATGTCCTTAGGACCTCCATTTTCTCTATACAAAACATTCTATCATGACAAATTCTAATTCTAAACATTATATTTCAATACAACAATGGGAAATATTATGCATTATTTCTGCATAAATCTAATTGATTGTTTTTTTTAATTATATTTCAGTAATTCACCATAATTATATTAATTCAAATTGTTGAATATTGTCTTTTAATGACATGAGCTATTTTCAAATTTCCTAATATAACTGGAATTTAAATACCTATTTTTCAAGAAAAACCACAAATTTCTGGTAATCTCTGATTTCAGTCTTTACAAAAGAGATGCATTTTCTTTATGAGTGTGGAACCTTATTCCAGAAATACAATATCCAAATCTAAAAATTTATCAACTGCAATTGGCCAAGCAAAAATTGGGATTAACCAATCAGCAGTAAGCATTTAAACACAAGACCAAGCATAGGTGATCACCTTGCCAACAAGCAAGTCCTGTCTGTAACACGTATATTATGATCAGAATGACACATGACCATTTCAGAGTCTAGGGGTGACAGACTATTACTAGGTTCACGTATGGCGCAAATTGGTGACTTGAGCAAAACAAAAGATAGCATATGCGTGGAATATTGACTCTGTACATGAACAGTAGCAATGGGCTTTGTTACCCCTCATGAGTGTACTGGACGCGCCACTTGCGCGCCGGTTTGCGCAAGGATGGCACTAAAATCACAACAACCACTACATTTGAATGTGCACAAACCGACGGATTCCGTGCAAGAACAGTAATTGGCACTTTGTGACCATTTCAAGAGCTCCAAGCGGGGAGCCAATCGCCTCTGCGCACTGGTTGGCATGTATGGCACAAAGTATGCAAGACAATTTAATTCCAAGTGTGCACAAACCATTTGCGTCTTTGCGAGCGCGTCCGGCGCCGTTGCAATGTGCTCAACAATCCCTCCCAGTAGTCTCAGCCCAACTACCTCTTTGTAACCGTTCTTGTGCACAGATTCCATACCTGGCAAGAAGTCCTGTTTCAAATCATATTTCTCTTGTTTTAAAAAAAAATGGCAGAATTATACACTTTTAATTGATCATACAGAAAGGATGCAAACATCGATCATTCACTGAGTCTTTCACAGGAAGTGATAATATAAATTAAATATAAAAACAGCAACCAATCCAGGTTTTAAATTAGTGGTTAGACTAATAGCCGTTTTTTTATGCTAGAAAGAGAAAACAATTTCAATAAATATCACATGATGACGAGAAAAATATTGTCAATCTTTCTCCCATTATACACATTGGAAAGGCAGCAATGTGGGCAGCACAAACAAATTATAGTTTACTCTTAAGAGAGAAATGCAGTGCCCACTTCCATACAAAAGTAACGTAAACGTGATATTTGATATCGGATCTTCTGTTTTAAATGAGGGGCAAAAGTACATTGTATGAACTTTTACTTAGAAGATTTCCAACAATTACATAACATGCACGAGTAGCTTTGCTCAGAAAAACCTTCAAAAACATGATTATATTTCAAATATTTTGGGGAGTTTTTGAGAAAAAAAAGTTCACTGAAGGATTCGTGGAGAAAAAACCCCGTGAACTCCAAGGTTACAGTTCTTGAGATACCTTTCAGAATTTGGTTTTCAATTGTTTTTTTCTTGTTTAATGTGTTTCACACAACATAATTACGTAGAAAAGATACAGCAGTGCTGTTGGCAAAAATGGGCTGAACTTTATCATGGTAGTTATACCTTACAGTATTTTAAAGGTTATCTTTTTCTGTCTTCATGGAACTACACGTTATAATTTTCAGCCAAAAATACAGTTTTTCTTTTGTTTCCCTAAAAAGCTTTTGCAGTTGAATTCCCCCCCCCCCTCCTCCTATTTCTGTGAAGAAAGGTTTCTCAGTTTTTGCAATTCTCTATATGAACATATGCATACCCATGTGCAATCCACTTTAATTAAAAAATTACCATGCTCCTCCCAGTTTTAAAAGCCAGGCAACTTTTCTTGTAGTTTAAAGGGAATCAGAACGCAAACTTGTCATACATACATGTACATGTATGACGGTTGGTTTGTTTCCCCATGTGAGGTCCGCAGTTTTTAACATTTCAAACAATTTTGGTCAGAAGAGTTTTACAAAATCTTGCTTATTGGTAACTGAAATGCAGCCTTGTTGGTCAGGCAGATGCAGATAGAATATAAGTACCACTCTAACAATGAACAAAAGGTGTAAACTCCCTATCTTTACGGAGACCTGCAAGTACTAAATATCTACTTATATGTGATTTGTAAACAGCTGTGTTATATGATTGACCATAAATCGGAAAATAAGGTCAAGAATAAGGGTATTGACTGAACACAAAAACTCTTGAACTTGTTTTTCCAGTGCTGATTTCACAGTTATGTTGCTCATACAATCAACTCACAGTTGGAGCAGTACCAACCAAACTTGCCGTGCTTGCGACAATGTACTACGAGTTGTTGAGGTCGAAGACTTCCGCGTGTAGCGCCGGGAACTGGAACCCAGGTGACTTGATCTTGAGCTCCATGAGTCTGCGGATGTGTTCGGGGCCAATCTCTCGCAGCTTAGGGATGGTGGTCAGCAGGCGGGCGAAGAGTCCGTGCTCCCCTGGGTGGTTCTGGGACACCTCGTAATGAAGGGCGTGCAGGAGCTCTAACTGCAGCTGCTTGACACGTTCGCGATTCTTCAGTCCCGGCCGATCTGTGTTAGTTCAGTCAAATAATTTAAAACAAATCAACATAAAGGTTGAACTAAGAAATTAGATTTTACCTTGCGGATAATATTCCTCCCTTTCCACTCTGAGCCACTCAATATTTGTATACCATTCTACTACTTAGTCTCCATTCAAGACTGGATTGGAGTTTCATTCTCCTAAAGAGCTGGTCCCTGACAAGCGCAGTCAAGACGCAAGGTTAGAGGTCACTATCAACAAATAATCAAATCCAGTCTTGAGAACTTCGGCAGCACTACCCAAAAATTTCCGAGCATACCTCACGAGTGTCGTATTCAAGCTAATACATACGCGTGAGGTATGCTCGGAATTGCCTTGGTAGCACAGCCGAGGTTCCTAAGACTGGATTTGATTTGACTGGATTTGAGGAACAAAACAAAACAAAAACTAGTCCTGGACCAAGACTACCGGTATGTACTGTTCAGTGAATGGCAATGAAATGTGTGAACCTGACTGAGTTAATGACAAGGAGAATTCATTTCATACCTGGTGACATGATGACCACGGCAGAGAGAAGAGCGTATTCGCTATCATCCAGCAGCATTCGGTTGACCCTCCGAGCAAAATCAAAGAGCAAGTCAAACAGGTTGCCCAGGGGCATCTTATGAGCATCCTCCAGGGAGAACTTGTCTCCCGTGGTCCACCAGTACACCATGTTGGTCTTCGTGTCGGCCACTGTCGAGAAACGTATCGTTGCCACCTAAACCAAAAACAGCAGGATACAAATAGCTCGAATGTTCAACGCATTTGAATATTCAGGGTCTGTTACTTGTAAATGTATGAGGAAACATCGGTTTCTTATGGGGAAGGTGAAATTTTGAACTTGGTACATGCTCATACCATGTGCTCATCAAAAAAGAGTGAAACTGGTCAAGGGTATGGTTGTCAGGATAACGTTCATCTTTTAAAGCTTATTTTGAGTGACTGTCTCATCAACAAATCTTATAAAAAAAAAAAGACACTAGACGGTTGTCACCAACATGACATCCATGGATACATCAAGTCAACTCAGTTAAACATCCCAGTGAAAGGTAAGAATGTTCTAAAGACTCATTTAATGGTATCCAGTCAGAAATGCAAAATAAATTTTACTTTTTGTTCGTACACTCTTTCATGTTTATTCCGGGTCATAAAATGTAAATGGAAATCAATTACTTTTCAATGAAGTTCGTCAAGGCTGACGTTTTTGGGTGTGGGTAAAGGGGTTGGAGGCTTGTCCAAACCACAGTGCAAGTTTGAGCGAGACCAAGGTTAACCATAGTTTGACTATCTCCATTAGAAATCAACCCTAGTCAGCTATCGTTGGAATAGTCCAGTTGACTATTCCAGACAATAGTTGGAATTGCTGGTTACACTAGCTGCACGCATCATAAGGACCAAGGAGTTTCCTGAGGATGTTTTGACCACTAGTCGGTCGACCGCTGGTTCTTGACTGAACTTGCCGACAGATGTCTTACCTCAAACAGACCCGTCTTGATCAGCGTGATCTGGTCCTCTCGGTCGATGTGCTTGAAGCCTGGGATCATCTTAGAGAAGTTGACAATACGCGTGATCTGGCTGGTGAACTTGCTGGAGAAGAACTGCCACATCCTGCCGCTGTCTACGGGAAGCAGGACGTCCGGCAGCTCCCGCGGTGGGTCCTTGGAGGTCGGGAAGCCTGAAGGTGGGGGGCACTTGCTGCAATCGTGGTCGTACTTGTTCTTCAACTATCAAGATTTGAGAAGGAAAATAAGGACGGCTAAATTAACAAGGTACACCTGATTCAAAGTGGTGTTCCTGAATCATGCTGAACTGACAACTATTAGGAGTGACTCAGGTATACCCAATTAAAAATGTTCGGTGCATGTATGTTTGCAAAGCTCACCTGAATACTGTGTGGACAATTTTTTTCCTTATTCGAGCTCGGAATTTAGTATTCAAGTTGTTTCAGACAGGCAAAAAAACTGTAAGTTTTAATTTTCCAATGACTAGCCACTGGAGTCATTCCACACAATTTGCAAAAGTTGATCTTTCAATGTACTCGCTCCTCACTGTTACAAACATGTACTTAATTCAGTCTGAAAAGTGTTATTAAGATTCCTTGTTGTCACAAGATTGCTTCAAAATTTAAATTTAGTTCTTATCTTTTTTAGCTCTTAAAATAACAGCTTCATGGTGTCCAGAACCCACATACGTGGTGTCCAGAACCTCCCAAATTTGACTTACCCGGTGGGAGTAGGTCTCATCAGGACCCAGAAATGGGAAGTACCTCTCCCGCAGGAAAATGATCCGGCGGAAGGTGTAAAAACATGTTTCATGGTAGGACTTGTTGACGCAGTCAATGATCTTACAGAGCTTCTTCTTGAGCTCTGGAGTGAGGGGCTCCTCTGGGTTGAAACCTTCCAGCTTGTATTCCTCCAGGGTGTCGTCATTACTCTTGGGATCCGCATCCGGTATATCGTCCCCGTCAATGGGGATGCTCCTTGGCTCCTCCTTAATGACCATCTTCTTCTCCTTTGAGATGGGGGTTTGGCTATCACTGGGCGCAGAAGACTGAAGAGCAGTGGTAAAACTCTGGGGAGGGGAGAGATGAGAAAAGTCGGGGGAACATTCTGGCTTCCCGTGGGATCCCTTGGAGGTTTTGTTGGGGTCTGAGTGACCCTTCCCTGGAGACTGCCGCTTGACAGACTGCCTGGTGGGAAAACAGTCCCTGCCATCGCCAGGTGAGTGCTGGGGGAGAGGCTTTGGGGAGTGCATCTCTGCTTTTAGATGCTGCTGGGCTAAAAATGCAGTCGGGCCAAGAGGTACTTGCTGAGGATGCTGTGAGGAACTGACAGGGACCATGACCTGGCCACCGGAGGAGAGCAGGGGTGAGGGAGGAAGGTGCTGCCGGCCAGACAGTGGGTTCCATCCTTGAGACATTGGAAGTAGAGGTGAGTGAGACAACAGTGAGGACTGTGGGGACAGACCCTGCGGCATCTGCTGGGGTGGAAACCCACCTGGGAACTGGAAGAACTGGTTCCCTTGGCCAGAGTGCGGCAGGAACGAACAGTGGGTGTTGTCCTCCGGTCTGAGCATTGGCTCCGACGTCCTCCGATGTCCTGCGTACAATGCCTTCATTTGTGAGGAGGCCATGTCGGCCACGCTGACGGACACCTCGTTTCCAGGGCTGGCTGATTTTGATCGATGCCGGGACGTTGAGTGATCATCCCGGCCTTCTTTACTTGTGTTTTGCACGACAACCACAGTCGGGCTTGGTGGGATCATGTCCTTGCTGTTTGACTCAGGACTACCCATGTCCCTGGGAATAAGGATGACAGGTTGACCAGCAGCCAGCATTTTATTAATGGCCTCCATTGGCAGGTCTCCCTCTCCGGCCATAGAGGCCTCAAACTTGGACCCATCCCGTCCTATCATGGACATTTTCTCTGTGATCTCTTCGCTGACTGATTGAGGCATTCTTTTCTCTTCCTTTGCCCGCATTGCTGCCTGTATGTACATGTTGTTCAAGCTAGCAGAGTCTTCGTGTGATTTTGAAAGTGATACACTGGAGATGGTTGGCGACTGTTCCATGCTGTCTGATCCGTAGCCCCTATTGCCGCTGCCATTGACTGAGCCCTCACTGGCTCCGGGAACTGAGGACTGACGGCCAACAGACCCCGGAGGTGACATGTCCAGGCCAGATATCGAGGAGGTTTCTGAGAGTGAGTGCTCCCGATCTGACCCACTGTGATCCAGCTCCTGCTTGATGATGGTGGAGATGGACTGGGCATGGTTGGCCATGGCCTGGCCTAGCTGGGATTCCATCATAGCTGCCATGGAGAAAGAACTGTTCATTCCGGGGTACATGGCAGGGATACTCGTCGGCAGCATGTGGCTGGGAGGGTGTCCAGCACTCATAGGCTGACCACCATACTTGGACTGGTTGAACAGTTCAGGGTGGTTGCTGTAAAAACCAGCCGGCTGGTGGACAACAGTGTTGTCACCAAAACTTCGCTGCTTAGCAATCGTCTCATGCATTTTCTCAATCATTCGTTTTGACCTCCGACCCAATCTGGAGCCTGCAACAGGAAACCAGTTAAAAAATCACGTTAAGTTATTAAAAAAGCAAGAGGAAAAACTCACATCTATGGTGACAAAACCAAAATAAAGTCAAGCAATCTGGGCAACCAGAAACCAACAGACTTATGAGAACTATACCAAAAGCTACTCGGACTTCAGTACACTGTCAGGTATTTGTCCAATACCAAGTGCAGGGCAGTGCATCAGAACCGGATACTCGAGTACCCGATCATTGATGTCAGGAACCGGCTCCAGATTATGGGATCAGGTACTCATAACCAACTTTATAAATTACTTAGTAACTTCTCAGACAAAGAAAAAGAAAGGTTTTGAATGTCGTTTGTGGAGAATTTTCAAAATGTAAACCAGGAAGCTTGGGAAAACAAAATATTGTTCACATTATTACGCTCAGGAAAGTTGCATTTTACACCGTAAAGCTATAAGCTCACTGAACACACTTGTATCTTGCTATATCGTGCAGACTTTTATGAACAGTCTAAACAGGGACTTCGAAGATTTAATTTTTGGGGTTTGGTTTCTTCCATGGGTACCCAGGCACCCATGTTTTTTTTCAGTCGGGTACCCGGTTTCCATACTTCCCGTAAATGCACAACACTCCTAACCAAGTGGTCTGTATGATTTTTAACATGTTCATATTACTGTATCCCAGGGCTTTTAGGGAGAAGAGTTCATTGAAAACGGATGGGGCTTTCCCGGTTAAATAATACGAAACAAAAAGATAAATAAAAAAGATAAGGTCAAATCAAATGATCAACATTTTCCATGAAATCCCACCCTTCTTTCTTCAAATACATAGTCTAGGGGCTAGAAGTTGTCATGGTTTGATATGCGATTATCCCGCTATCACGACCAACCAATATCACCCACAACTGCCAATACAATATTCTAGGGAATCTTGTGGCGGTTGTGTAGCGCGCGAGCACCTGTTTGGCCTACTATATGCAGTGCGTATTCAAAACATTTCATACCGTAGTAGTTCTAAATGAAATTCTTAAATTTCTTCCAGTCGTATAAAAGTTGCAGCAAGACTTTTGTGCAACTTCACTGGTCAACACTTTTGTGGTATGTAGTATGCGTGGGACTGAAAATGGACCGTAATTGCCTGCAGAAGGTGCATGCACGCACTTGTTTCCCCCATTTTTCGGGGGAGATTTACAAGATTGTCTAGACAGTGTTCCGACGGGTTCGTGGGTATAATGGATGGTTGTGATAACACCCTCTTGCAGCGGGGGGTTATCGCAGCGGCAGGTTATCGTGTATCACACCATAACAACATTTTGCCCCGAGACTATCAAATACAAAATAAGCACCCTCAACTTTTTTTACAACCATTGAAACTTCACTGTAACCCAGAGAAGGAATAAACACTTGGCAATCAACATTTCATGGCCCTTTCTATAGCAGGCCACAAAACCCACTCTTGGCACACAACTCTCTGAAATTTTTTTTTTTTTTTTTTTTTTTTTTTTTTACTTCTGATGTATTTTAAAGGGAATATATTTGTTTTTGCTGTAATTTTAAGAAATGGATGTATTTGGGGGTAAGTATTTTAGCTGGTTTGCACCCATTCACGATGGGTAACCGATTGCAAACAAAATGTGGACTAACTAAATTTGGTAAATTGGAGCAGTATTTGAAGAAGAAAAAAGCCAGTTTCTTTTCCAAAGATGGTCTGCCGACCATCGTTGAAAATTGATACAAAAAATCCACTTTTCTTGAAAACGACAGCACACCAGGTGCCATGATTTCACAGTATGCTTGAGACTATTATTCACTTACAATCAAGTAGGGTATTTCATCATAATTTGGTAGTGTTCTTTTTTTATGTTTGCAAATGTTGTACATGTATATTGCCATTAAATAGCAAGTTTCCGTAGTTCATCTGCTCTGTGGTCACCATTTTGAACACAAGGCTTGGACACATTTATATGAAACTGTCAATTTCAGCTGTTTAGAATAAAACTTTTGTACAAAATTTCTCAAGAGTCCCTTCAGGGAAAACGGCACAATGGTAAACTTTGGGCCATCACCGAAACATTTCACTTAAGAGTGAGGGAATGGACGGGGATGGAAGGAGGCTCACCTTCTTTGGACATGCCGACTGCAAGGCACTTCTTCCATCGGCATAGCTGGCACTGATTCCTAGTGTAGAGGGAGATGTCACACTGCCCGTTGTTGGAACACGTATAGGATTCGTGCTGTGTGAGGCTCCTTCTGAAGAAACCCTGCACACATCAAAAAAAAATCAAACAAAAGAGACAAAAACTATTAATGTGATGAATCAATGTGCTCTATTGATCAAAACTATCATTTGTTTTCACACAATAACAAATTTGGAAATTTGTACTAAAAAGCCGTATCCTCTCCGAGTGATCCCCGTTTGCTATTTCCCAGGTCTGTATCGTGACTTTGGGCGTGATCCCTGGCTGTTTCGCACACTGGTTTATGGCTTCTGAGTAGCGCCTCTTGAACAAAGATATTGACTAATTGGGGAACCACCAACATAGGGCTGGATAGCTCAGTTGGTAAGAGCACCGGAAGTCGCAGGTTCAAGCCCTGCCCCAGTCAATTTCTTTGTTCAACTTTTCAGCAACGAAAACAAGACAACATCCATGCTCTGGAGTAGCCAGACAAGAGAATGAGAGAACCTGTAGTTGCCAGAACACACATAATGTACTTGTTCCGTAGTTGTGGGGACATACATGTACATTGTATATTCATCTGTACGAGGTATTTGGGGGGCCAGAAAACGCTGTGGGGACAGCAGAAAGTCCCCATAACTCGGTCCTAATTTGCCTAACAATAACAAACTTCCCCATAACGCGGTGTAGGCCTACCCATATTGTTCTTGCAGTTCACAGTGCTTGCAATAATGGAAGAAATGATTGGGGAAATCTGAGTGTACATGTTGCGACAACTTAACAACATTCAGTAATTTTCTATATTTTACTCAAGTGGCCATTCCGTTATAAAACATAACAAATAAGAACCAGGGCCAAAGCTGTTTGTTGGCATTTAATGTTGAAAGACAGGATCAAAAATCAATTAACGCATCGCTCATTTTAAGGAAAAAGCTGCAATGCTGGTCATCAATCTATTTCTCTCCCCCTTCCATCTCACTAGGCAGAATCGTCCAGAGGTAAGCTCAGGCCGATCTCCTCATCCCAAGTTCAAGGTCTACCTCGCACCGGTTGATAAAAAAATATTCAAAAATAGAAAACGTTTAAGACGCGAATGAAACCCCTGTCAGGCGTCCGTCAGCCACATGTCTCCTCGAGTCAGTCGCGCCGGCTGGTGATCCGCGACGTAGCCGGTAATCAGCACCCAGAAACCAGAGATGTCTGTCGGGCAGCTGCCTGGGAACGCATCCTACCACTAATTGGCAAGGGGCTTACAAGCCAGTGACAGGCTGGGTTTACTGTCCGTCAAGTGTATTAGAGCATCATTATCAACCCCCTCCCCCCAAAAAAATCCTTAAAAATCACAAAATAGCTAGTTTTTCTTGTTCTTAAATGATATCCGACCACCCCACCCCCAAAAAAACAATGTATATTTCGAAAAATTTCTAATTAAGTTATGATACAATGTACAACTGTCACACGATGCAATTATTCATGAGTCACAACTAGCAATATTTCAAGATCACAAATATTGATTTTTTTTTTTTTTTGGAACTAAAAATACAACACTTGCGAAATGGAGTTGGCTTGGGACTGGCCGTATTGATTTGTTTGGAAACACGTGTGTCGACTAGTAAGGACTGTCTGATGGGTCTCGGAGACTAATGGAAAAAAATGGTAAAGGTTACCTGGGGGCAAACTAAATGTCATAGTCATAAAGCTACATTAATTATACATGCATTCATTGTTAGTTTTCTGCTATCTACTGCATGAACTACAAATCATAACATTTTTTTTTGGATTCATGGTTTCAAGTTTTTTTTCTCATATACTTTGAAAATCTGTGGCTGGAAAAGGAAGTAAAGCCTACTGTTCATCTGCTGGTCACAAATTAACAGCATCTTGCTTTTTTTTCTAAATTCTTTTTAGCCTTTACATGTACATGTACATATCAGATGTTTCTGTCTATAAATGATACCTTCCAAAAAAAATGTCCATAAAGAGCTTATTTTTTATGGGTGATCCTGGTCTCCCGTTTGTACGTTGTGACTTTAGTTTTGTTGTTTTTGTTTTAGCATCATCTTGTTTGTTTGGTGTATCCATGTCATTTTGCCTTTATGACCGATTCTGCTTGGATCAAAATGTAAAGCTTTATAACTTCTGTTATATATGTACATGTATTTCTGCTGAAAAATGACTTTAAACTTTGTTCACTAGATGACCATTTATGCATCCTGTTCCTTTAAACCATTTGTTCAAGCACAAAAAGCATGTCTTCACACACATGGGGGGGGGGGGGGGGGAGTCAGGTTGGCGAAGCGGTTCTTTCCTCGCCTTCCACCACTAGTGACCTGGGTTCGAATCCAGCCTGGGCCAAACGCTAGATTGGGTTTTCAGTCCCTGCTTGATTCCGTGGGTTTTCCCCAGAATATTCTTCTGGGGTTTTCCTCCCACCTCCAAAACTGTAATATCTTCTCATTGTCTTCTCTTTATGAGTTTCTTCAGGCTTGCGAGCTACAGTGCCTAGGGCACTTTTGAGGAATCCTTGGTTTCATTAATACCAGAAATAATTAATAATAGCATACATACCCAAGTACATTTGTACATACACATAAATGTATTTATGTTCAGTGTGGTTCCATGCATACAAATGATTCAGTTAGTGCACGTATGATATGCATACAAATGAATGTTGCATTAGGCCTGGTTTGATTTATTCGGTCATTTTGATTAATCAATCGTTATTTCAGTTATACATGTTTCGGTTTGATTTATTGAAAAATCATTTCCTCTAAGAAGGCATGACAGTATGGCTAAGCAAAAAAAAACATAAATAAATTCCATGCTTGAAAGTCCAGAAGGAACATGATGAGGCATGTGTATTTATGAAAATATTATCAAGAACATTTTTCTGAAAAGTTAGTGAATGACCAATTATTGAAAGTTCCATTGTCTGTGTATCAATTATATTTACAAGATCAGTTGGTGCCAGCTCACCAGCTTTCAACTTGTAAATTGCATTTTTAATTGATTGTAACAAACACTTGATTGGGCCTGTGCCTAATCTTAATCTTAATCGCAAAGATAGGAGGAAGGACATTTCAGTAAGAGATTCGGAAAACAAACTCTTGCAGAACAATTGTCGAGGTGAATCTACATAATCCTGGGAATGCATCACAGACGTAAGAGGTTTAAGATGAGGAAAGAAGAACTACACTGACATGACAAGTGGATTGATTGGTTCTATCACTGGGCTCAATGTTGACATCTTCAATGACCTCAGTTGACCTTGCCCTTGTCAACGTCCCACTAGTCATCAAGCCAAATACCAATTTTTTTTTAAGTCCACACCAATCTGTTCTGTTACCTCGGGACCCCATGGGAAAAGGATTCCTAAAGTGTCGGAAATGAGCCCGAAGAAAAAGAAGTTTTAATGTTTTTTAAAGATTAACTGTCAATGGTTTTCGCTGTATGGTCATCCACTATTCCGGTCACTGCGTTCTACCCTGCCTTCAATACCGAGAGGTGTTTAATTATGGCGTCAGTCCCACTATCCCCTTCACTCCCTAGTGGACGCAAGGCCAGAAAAGACACACTCGAAGTTGCGAGTGTTACTTAGAACGCTCAGTGAGCAGGTTTGCTCTTAGTCAAGTGGGAATTTGTTCTTGCATCACGTCTAATGCCCTTTGGTCTCCGGAGGAGGGGGGTAGATGTGGTAACGAAGCAGTTATTAACAGAGAGCCTTCTCCCGGGTTTTAATTGGATTCCTCTGTGGACCAATGAAGGAACCAGAACGATCATCTTGATCGTGATCAAGCCAACTTGAAGGATGCCAGCCCGACGGTAGTCCCCGGAACGTACATCGCCAGCCATCTGGCAAATCCAGCCCTGCCTACCATGATGCACCGTTCACGACTGGTTTACACTTGTACTTGGACGCTGCCAAACGTTACATATACATGGCTTTGTAACCAAGGGATTTGGGAAGGGGGGAGGGAGAATAGAGACAACTCACTCGCGATAAAATTTAAGAAAATGCAAATTTGGTTCACTGGAGACAGACAAACAGTGAGAGTGGATGTTCAGAATCACTTCTGCTTAGTTGGGTTTGAAGACAACCAATTTTCCTTGTTCCTTTTATTTTCTCCCCTGCTTAGGGAGTTGCAATTTTTCTGTTTCTGCGTTCAAGAAACTGTAAACCGAGTAGAGGCGCGCTAATCTTTGAATGTCGAGAGGAGGAAGTCTTTCTCATCCATCAACGCTGATCCCCTAGACTTCAAGGATTCTATCGAAGTGTGTAAATGTTGTCAATGTCATGGTCGCTTTCACAAAGCGCTCGTTGTTTTGATTGTTTTTATTTTCCTCGGACGATAGTGATGCCAGAGGGAATGCCAATCACAACAAATTGGTCGTTTGGAGTGGTTTGTCTAAACCAAGAGCGGGAGGGATTTTCACGCTTTTTAGGTTTTTGGACAGGGTTGGCCACTGAGTCAAGCCCCTCACACTTACCAGAATCTGTTAAATTCTCCAGAATTCAAAAGACTGGACGTAAATCCTGCCAATCACATACACAGGATGCCAAACTACTTCTTCGTTTTTTAAAGAATATCCACACATTTTTTTTTTCTAGTGTACAAATCCCAGTGAGGAATTGTACACAGGAAATGTTTTACGCTTTTCAGCTTTTAGAAAGCGTCTGGTGAAAGCGGAAAAAAAGTCAAGACTTTTTCACTTAAGAATCTATTAAGCACTTCCCTGCTGGAGAGATACGACACATGGGATTTCTGCATCGATTGACGGGCCTGAGGACTGCGCGACGCCGTCCAGCTGATGTATGCGGGTGATGACATCGACTTGTCCATAAGTTCCCCCCTGTTTCCTAATGTGACGCACTTGCTTCACATCATCAAATCACTGAACATTACAAAAATGTATACACTGTACGTGACAAACACCGTAACAAACGCCGTGTTCAGGAACCAACTTTGAAAAGCCATGGGCTTAACTGTATTTTGTGATCGTTTTTCTCAATTTTTTTTGGGCAGAATAACATTGAACATTAGAATAGCGAACACTAAATCTCAATGTTTATCTGTCAAAAACATTCTAGTAATTAATTTACTTGCAACTAGTTTCACCAATTACATGTACATCATGACAACTGTTGAAAGGAAAAAAAGAATTTTGTTTTAAAGATTTTCATATTAACTTTAAGTAAACTGTTCAGTTATTTGAATTAACCTTTCGCAATCACTCTTGCAAAGAAACTTGATGTACTGGAAATCTATTAGAAGTTATATTTCTAAATGAAAAAGGTAAAATGACTGAATTTTTTTTTTAGGGCAATTGATAGGGCAATTGATAGGGTTAATGACTCCCATTTATATTCCTGCTAACATGCAAAAAAAAAGTGTGCCCTTGGACACACCTTTTAAAAGCACAGGTCTTCAATGATTGATTTCTTCTAAAACAACACCATTCCAGGCAGAACAATTTCAAAGGGTATTTGGTACCATCCCTGACTTCACTCTGAGCAAGTTTGTTATAATTACCAATGTTCAACAACTTCAACATTTTGAATTTCAAAATAGAAATCACTGCTTTTTGGTCGGCTCAGAGGTTTAAAACTCAGATCAAACGACGGACAAAGAAAGTGTTCACAAACTGAACCAACAACAAATTATCAGCTTTCACAATTTTTAAAAACACGCATCCGATGAAAAAACTCCTTCCCTTTAAAAAGTTTATGAATCAAGTAATTACTTGTACAAATACTCCCGACCATCAGTTGAAATTAATAACACAAATCTTAAAAAAAAAAAAGAAGAGAATTAGCTGTATTAATAACCCATGGCGCGACCAAACAAATAAGAATACAGCTTGTATACATGTACATTGTATCAACGAAGAGAAAAAAATTCATGGATGATTTATGGCGACGCCTTAATTCTTCTGATGGCCCAAGCCAACACGTACTTTCGGAAGAACCGTTACATTCTTCCCGGCACGACTACTACTGTTTCTGTTTATTTGTCACATTTGATAGGATTATATCCTGTGAATAGAAGGCAACAATGACAGGCAGTAAGTATGACATGGCTTGACTTTGAATTTCTATTGAGGCAACTGCACTTTGGCCAGGAGCAGGGCGAGTCAAAGCCTCAATCAACTGGAAAGGCAAACACGGTGGAACCCAAAAGAAAGAGAGAGAAGAAAATTTAAAAAAAAAAAAAATAACAAAAATAAAAAGAACTAAAATCAAAGCAATCTTGCATCGGCACGAATTTCGGGCGGAAGATTCTTTGTGTACCATCACAGTGATAATTAAATTTTCATATTTTTTTCCCCTTTCTTTTCTTTCCTTTTTTTTTTTTTTTTCAAAGGCGAGATGGAATTGGCAGAATCAAGAGGAAATGCAGATGCTGCGAACACAAACATGACCAATAATTACTGCAATGCAATCATTTCAGCACGTCAGGATTCTCCCCCCAAAAAAACCCTAGAGCACAGCTTGTTATCTATCATATCCTGATATACAAAGCCCTCAACGTCTTATGACAAAACAAGTCCAATGACTCTGAACTTCAAGATCAGCCTAGAGGGGGATCTACAGTTTCTCCCTCCAAATGCAAGCTTGAGACTCGCCAATGAACTCCCACTATCTCCCCGTAAAATGTCCTTGACCTCAACTTTTTAGATGATACTAGTACCGATAGCAAAAAACGTGGTTTGAACTTCCAGTGATGTAATTATTGGAATGGGTTGGCAGTGGCCAGCCAGGGTCCTAGGAAGACGCTAAGCGTCCTGGGTGGCTCGTTTTTTTTATAAAGTACAGGTGGCGAGGTTAATTCGCTATGACCTGGCAAGAAAGAGCGGTGCCCTGTTAGTGACACACCGGGCGTTAACCCAGACGAGACAAACTGTGCGCAGAGACTGCACTTGCAGAGGGCTCGAGGGACAGGCTGGTGCTAGTCTGACTCGGCAAAAGGACGCCCTCTACCAGCAATTTTTTCTTCCTGAATTGATTCTCGAGTCCATTTGTGTGTACATGCAACCATGCATGAGAGGTACATACATGTACATGTAGGACTAACAGATCTTTCTTTTTGAATTCATTTCCACATCTGAAAGTTTTTAGATATATACATGTACTTAAAAACAAGATTGCAAGCTATCACGATTATGTCCCATCAATGGCAAAACTAGCCAGATGTTAGCCCGACATCAGATTGACTTCATCACTGTTTAACTATTATTTCTGGAGGGATTTTGACAACTTTTTCTTCAAATCCCACAATGTTGTACATTTATTTCTAGATGGCCACATGGTCGTTTCGGAGACATTATCCAGAGTTATAGCACAGACACATTTAGGAGGGTGATCATCTAACAGTGACCTCATGATGACATTGTGTCATGTGACATCATACTAAGGCTAAATTTGTTGTTCATGTCGTGTTCATGTGGCTAAAGAACAACAAATCCACATGGCAAGTGCTGTTAATATTTTGAGAGGTAAACAAGTATTTATAAACATCTGTATAATGATGTTTTTTTTAAGATCATAATGTTACACACATCAATAATTACCTTCCGGGGGGAAATGTTCTGTTCATGAACAGAGAGAACATCTGTTATATTTACACTAGTTTTTACAGCAAATTGTATACATTTGGTCTCATTCACACAAAAATATTTCCTACTCCAACCCCAACTTATTCCTCAAATCAGTAAAATCTATTAGATCAAAGTAAATGCAAAGAGAAAAATTACCTTGCAGCCTTCGCAGGAATGGATGCCATAGTGGAACCCCGTGGAGGTATCACCACACACCATACACTTGATGAGTTCATTCAGTTCATCTGAAGCAAGCAAGAGGAAAAAAAGGGGGAAAATTAGAAAGACAGTCAGATGTTTACTCATTTACTGCCACTGTCACCACCACGCTCTTCATCGTTATCGTCATTTTTTTGCTCTGTCTAATGAAAGGGCAGCATCACTGTTGCGATCCAGCTACAGAGATGCACGGTCCCTGGCCAAAACGTGATTCACGTTTTCTGAGCATGTTCTACGACTAGGCCATCCACCTCCCCCCCCCCCAACCTCCCACGCAATGCCGGTGCAGCGTCTACGCAAACAGTACACGTGCGATGAGGTTCTCGTTAGACAAACAATCTGTCGTCCCAAAATATCACGGTTTTAGATTTCAGATTGGATGGTACTGCAATACTTGGCACACACAAAATGATGCATTTCTAAAGAAGATGGCTTTTCGGGCTGTACGAACACATATGAAGGTTACACATAATGGTTGATGAAAATTTTATACACACAGTAAATTTCAAGATGATATTTCAGAGGATTTTGATTGATATAAGAATATTATTTCAGAATTCAATTAAAGAGTGAGGACGCTTGGTGGGAATTTGATATTTTCAATCGATTCAGCCATCCTTCCTAGCTGAAGACTATTCCCAGAACCATTTTGAATAAGTTTATAATTATTGTGCACATTCACTTCAGGTAGGAAATGACTCCCGTTCATATTCTTGCCGGCATAGTGCCTTTCCAATCGTTGTTTAGTGATCCCCCTTCCGCTACGTCAATAGAAGGGGTCATCAAAAAAGCCCCACGTCTCAAAAACAACACCACACGGCTATTTGTTAAAAACATCAGGAGACGTGTCCAGTATCCACCATTTAACAAATTTGCTTAAAATAGCAGAAAGGTAAATGAATTAGGAGTCCTACTGCCGGGGCCGAGCCAATCTTTGATCTGCTCATCAGGCCAATGACCAGATAATGAGTTAAATATGCCGTGCACCCAATACTGGCCGCAAATTGTGTTACCTGTCCCACGGCCGGCTCCAGTGACAGGCCCATAATTAGCCAGTCAATGTTAATTGGATTACCCTTGGCAATTAGTCGATATGTAAACTGACAAGGAAGGGGCTGGAGAGAGAGAAAGAAAAAGTAGGGGGGGGGGTGAGGGGAATTGATCCCTGAGTAAAGGCTTCATTTGAAGAAAAAAAAAGACAAGGTTTCTGAAAGACAAATAAAAAAAAACAGCTTCAGACTATCTTCCGTCGTCGCTTACTTGATGTTCAGAATTGATTTTCTCACTGGAGTGAATTCAGATTTGTTGTACGATCACCATACAGGGGCCAAAAGACAACAGTCACAGCAGGTTGAAATTTACTAACAGTAACAGTGCTTGAAGAAATGCATCCATTCTTTTATTGACAAGATACAGTATCTTTGTTCTGCTTGCAGCGAAAGATACGCGATTTTACAAATTCATGTTTGCAGAGCTCAATTTCTAGCCCACTCACGAGCCTGCCACAATGAAGCAGAACTGCTCCTTTGTGCTCGGCAGTCGCCGAGGTCTCGTAAAACGTGACCACTGTAACCGAGAGGCCAATGCACTGCCACGTTTTGCACTCGCCCAAAAAAAGTGCAAGAAACCATGGCAACGTAGATGCAGCTTCTGATAGTGTTAAACCCTCTGTGTTCATTATCTGACGGAGGTATGCTGGGCACACCCCGGTTGGCTTAACATCCTCCATCTATTCCCTCACCGGTCCTCCCCCATGGGGACCGGTGATAGACAGTTCCATTTTTATCTCAATGGCCAAAAGAGCGCATTTTTGACTTGGCTCTCTGCTACTCTTTCTTTTTCTCAAACATCTGTCTCAAACACTCCACTGTAATTTCTCCACTTAAGAATGCAAATCCCGAGCGCCGTAAACTTTGTCCTTTCACTGGTTTCTGCCTGGCGTACTCCGTAAACCGCTTAAGCATATTCAAATCAGAAGGCTAAGTGGTTAACGAGATTTTACAAATTGCAGACTGGACACAGAGACTAGGGGGGGGGGGGGTTGTGGCCACATGACACATGTCAGGGTAGAAGCAGTCCCATCTTTTGTCATTCAATCAAAGGATGGTTTTCTTGTAACTGTCAATTCCAAATCTTGTTACGTCCTAAGAGACATCAGTGTACTGGTTTAAGGACCTTGAAAAGAAAACTCCGAATTGGATTATACTGGATACTTATATTTCCACCTCAGTTTTTTTTTAAAGGAAATTAGACTTGAGGATGTTTCAAGAGATGTCCAACAAATCTCCTGCCAGGTCATAAGGGAAATCACGGCTTTTATGAGGTACTTATGTAATGGATTGCCAAGAGCCACTAGCATCCCCACACAAACGAAGCATGCTTTCATCAGTCGCAATTCAATTACAACTGCGTCTGTAACACAGTGATGGCAGAGTCGTTTCCCAGCACACTGTTGTTGGCATGTGGCCACCAAACTTGTTGGTTCACAACCAGAGTTTTCACACGTGACAACCTGACCGGCCATCAGTGTATGAAAAGATACATTGATTAGTGACGTCAATCAACTGATTACGCGTACGGTACACGGATGCCATGACCTTGGGAATACAAAGTTTTGGAGGTGGTGGGGGGGGGGGGGGAGACAACAATTATGAAAGGCCGAACAGGCCAGCTGAGCGGACGAGGGTTAAGATAATTACAACTATAAAAAAAAATTAATAAGCTTTATGGATCAGCACGACTGGGGTGCAGTTCCGACCCTTAGGGATGAACACACAATCACAAGCACGTCACTCTATTCACAAATGCGTGAGCACGGTCCACGGTGGTCACTCAAGTTTATTGAGAGGGAGAGAGAGACACACACAGAGGAAAAAAGCAGAAGCACTAAGTGAATTAGTTGCTACAAGATTGAGCCATTGTGCAGGTCCGATAATTTCTACACAGCTAGGCAATTATTGAAACTGCTTATACTTACATGTACATGCACACTTAATTGGTGTTACCATCTCCGGCTATTACCCAGTCTGAATCTCTGGTCGTCCCAAGCCACGAAGTGTGTATCGATTACATGTTGTTGTCATCGATTCCAAACTTTCAAACAATTTCTACATCACGTACGCCAGAGTTGAGGGTCCCCCTTGAGCAAACGGGGGCCGAAACAGGTAGACTGGAAAAACAGCAGAGTCTGCGTGCACTCTCTGCCTGTCCCCCAAGACGCAACCCCAACCAGCACTAGTCGCAGGGAATCAGTATCGTACTATTTTGCAAATGGAGCCCGGTAATGGAATATTATTAACAGTGCCCAAGCGTCATGGGGTGTCAAACTCATGAGGGGAATGACACTGAAGCGGCTGTCCCCCGAGACTAGCCATGTCAAATACACTTCAAGGCCAAGGCCACTGGGCTGGATCATTCTCAAGAAGAGGGGTGGAAAAAAGTTTGAGAGGGGCAAAAGAAATAAGCTTGGAAGACATCTACAAACAATGTCACAATCCTCAGACTCAACTATTTTTCAACTTCCCCTAATTTTAATTGCGATCAACTTTTTAATAAAATAAAAGCAGATTTCCTGTGGATTTAAAAAAAAAATTGTTTTGGTAGTTCCAATGTGGATACCCTATGAACTTGAACTGTTCCAAGTGCCACATGGCATCAACTTGAAGCCCATTCATTTTTCCTTCCCCGCAAATTTTCTGTAATTCTGATCCTGTCGGCTTATGGGGTTTTGGCATGTACAGCTCCACCAGAACGCATGCGTGTTCAAAATGCCGGGGGTCCCTAGCCCCAGCTTGTCTGTGTTTGCGCAGTAATGTCAGCAATTCAGCTTGCTTCCTGCCGATCTTGAATAACTGGAATTGATAAGCGAAAGGGGGGGGGGGGGGGGAGAATGTTGGTTGGTACATACTACGCCGGTCATTGGCTTTTACCCAGCTTGGCTCTGGTCTACCCTTGCCTCATAATGTGGTCATGTTTTCAATGGGACTTCGCCATATAGAAGGGCCCTAGGGCGAGTGCAATGAAGACGAACACGGGGAAGAAAGGAGAGACAAGAGCGCGGGAAAAAAAATGACCTATGGGATTGCTTAACATTAGGTCTATGATAATGTGGATTTAGTGTGGCTCAAGTGTGAGATTCTCAAAATTTTCAAGAAACGAAATTAATTGTTAAGCAACTTTTACAACACTTGGCTTCAACTTTCCCTTTCTTGTTTTGCCTTGCAGAAAAAAACAAATTGTGTTGTTGAAGAATGTACCGGTAGAAAGTGTGAGTTGAACAGTGTGTCTCTGACTACAATATGATGAACTTTTAAACTAAAATCCTTTGGGAATGTGTTTTTTTTTTAAGTTAGTTCGTGTGGATAAAACTATTAAATACTTTGTTAAAAAAAAATGAAAAAAACTTATAAAAACTTGCAATCTGTAGAACTTTCTTTGAATATGCGCAATAATGTAAAAAACCAACTACATTAACTTCACATATGCTTCAGACTGCTATCAAATCCAACATTGGATCCAACCTCAGTTTCACAACAGCTTTTGTCTTGTACCATATACCAGATTTAAAAAATCACAGTTTTTAAAGAAAAGCTCAATTTGTTTTTATGCCAAAGAATTGATAAATTCTTCATTTGACTCCATATGTACTGTCGATAAAAACCGTACCTTTTATTTTTGAATGGAGTACCCGGCAAGCATTCAGTCAAATTTATCTCACAATGCAAATAAGTACATTCGTGTATCCTACCTCGCAAGTAAATGTTCATGAAATACATGTATGCAGCTCCTTCTGGCAATCATAGTCAAAAGTTACAACTGTGTATTTTTTAAGGGTTCTGTTTCCACGAATATCACCTGTTTTGATTGCATGTACATACAATTGATTGTCTCAGAAACTGGACGACTGCAAAACTACATTTGAAGTATTTGTCATCTCAGGACAAGAGGGGAGTTCCATGTATTTATCATACCCAGCTAGCGGATGGCGTGAAATTGGTGTGAAAAACGCTGCAGGGCAGACAAAATTAATAGGAACCCTTAACGAGATAAGTGCTCCATATCGGGTTCATATGAGAAACTCACATATCAATTATGAAGTCAATATTATCAATATCTTGGGGAAAATTGACTCTGGTCAACATGTAGAGACTTCTGTGGCTCACAGACTTATTTTGCAATTCCATGAATGACAACTAGTCTCAGGCAATTCAGCCAT